GTTTCAAATGATACAGCAGTCAGTTTATAACTGACTGCTGTAAAAAGTAGTTGTAAACCTGAGAGTATGAGGAAACTCTTTGCTGTTGCAGGACTTTTGACTTTGCTATGTTCTGTTTGCAGGGTCTCGGTATGTCTAGTGGAGGTCAGGCTGGTTTGGGCACTCCTTCATCCCGGCAGTATGCACGACAGAAAATAACTCGCATAAACCTCAGGGACTTCATCTTCTACATGGAACAGGAAAGAGAAATGAGCCATTCTCTCCTGCTCTATCGAGCTCTGCTTAAATAAAGCCAAGAATTGTACTGAATTCTCCATACAGAAGCTCAACCTGCATTAAAAAGCTGTCATTTTAATGTGCCTTCTATTTTTTTCAGAAGTCAATGTTCCAGTAATTTTATTTTGTAAAATTGTCAAACACATGCAATAAATTCCCTTTATGTAAAAAAAAAAAAAACAAAACCAAAAAAAAAACAAAACAAATAACAACAACAAAAAAACACCAAAAAAAAACCCCACACAAAAAAAATGTGCAAAAGGTTTTAAAATGTTAAATGCAGAGATACAACCACCATCGAAGTCTTGCTCCGTTTGGCCACTTTAGGTACAGCTGCAGTGGATGGTATTGACTGGTAAGGCTGTTGCGATGGCTCACCACAACCATCTGCATAAGGAGGACTGGGACAGGTTTACGGGACTGGAACCTAACTGTGATGTTAACCTGTATGTTCATGGAAGGCGCTGGGTTTGTTTCCTCTTTAGTTTTGCTAGCAGTTTCCACTAACCATGGTTACAACATATCTGTTATTTTAGATTAGTTATAGTTGCAGTCTTTTGCACAGCTAAGAGAATAGCCACTGCACACTCTCACACGTTTTATATAGGTAGGATTTCTGCTTTTACTGCACAGCTCCTCTGAGCCATTTGCTGAACCAAATCCTAAGTGTGTGAAATCTGTGTGCTTGGGTCTCAGCTGAGTTACCTGGACTAGTGTCCGGTTGTTTTCTGAAATCTTCTCAACCTTTTGCACATTTGTAGCAACTGGTTAGTGACATGAATCAAAGTTGGGTTTTATTTTCTAAAACAAAGTTAAAAAAATCTTATTTATTGCAGAGTATGGTTTAATGGTGGTTTTAAAAGAGAGGTATTGTTCAGTGAAGATTTCAGAGTATTGTACACGTGGATTTTAAAGTCGCTGTAACAGGAGTTTTGGGGGCTGGTTCCACTTGTGGAAGATCAAGTGAGCCCTGGTGCCACAGTGCCTGGGGCCTGGCCATGTCCTGGCCTTGGAAGACTGGACTCCAGTCCAGAGAGGCACATGAACAAGTGCATGACTGAAGCATAATGAGTAGTGCTAAGTACTTAAAGGTGGGATGAATGCTTTCTAAATGCTTTGCTGAAGTGGGATTTAAAAGGCCTACACCAAAGCCAAGTGACATTAGTGTGAGTCTCTTAAATGGGTATTGGCTAGGAGTATTGATCAGGCAGGTAGGCACAAGTTCTACTTCAAACATAACAGTATTAGGAGTAACCATTGAAGGGGAGACGTTTGCTTATTTATCTTGTCAATTTTTACCATGTTATGCTTGCCACTTTTTTGAGGCAATTTTTTTTTTTTTCAGATGGGGAAAACATAGCGAAAGCACAAACAGAACTATTTGTCCGATAGTTTTAAAACAAAAGTTTTAATTATTTTTTAAGGTTCATGAAAAGCAGAAGAAAATTTATACTGCTGCTATTTAGCCAAAAGATTATTCATAACATATTTAAGGCCAGAAAGTGTAAAATTATGTTTTAAATTTATTGATAATTTGTACATGTTGTTTATAAAGGCCTTGTGTTTATTAGAATTACGTTATTTTGATGATTTCTGTACATATTCGTAAATATCCCCAACTTGTGTGAAAACATACTCCCTTATTTGTACTTATTTTATAAAGAAATAAAACAATTTACTAAAGTAACACATCGAGTAACATACAGTATTAATTTATCAAACAGGAATTTCACATTGTCTTGTTCTTGAGCACTGTTCAGGAACATTTTGCATTAAAATATTAACAGAATACCCTCAAAGAAATATTAAACCCAAATACTTCAGTGTTTTGTTGTGCTGATCCTTACCCTTTGTCAAACATCTAATAAAACTGTCATCAAACCTTGATGCTGTTAATACAGTGAATGAATGCACTCAGCAGTTGTCAGTTCGAGAAGCACAACAGAACATTCTCTCTCTCGCTTTCCTTCCGAGGCTCGGGACCACAGTGGTGGGAAGTGCATGGGAAGTGCTAGTGAAGACCCAGGTTCTTCCAGCCACAGGTTCAGTTCTCAGCAACGGAGAATTGGGACTGCTTTGTGCAGCTGAGTTGGGCGAGAAGCCTGGCTACGTTTGCTTCTTGGCCTCCGTGTTTTTTTAGCCTTCACTGGGCTTGCTGGGGTGTTCTAAAACCCGTCTTAGCAATGCTGAGCAATGTTCTTAAGTTATGTTGCTGCGGTCTAAGGCCAGAAGAATTCATATCAGTTTTTGCTGCTATTGCTGCCTAAAAATATAGGGAAATAAGTAAAAAAAGATATAAAAGAAACTGTAATAAACTTTAAATAACTGACCTGAAGTTACTAACTAAAAGAACGTGTCCTAGCTTAACTTTTTTTTAAAGGCATATTTCTTCTATCCAGGTGATTGTTTCCACATGTCTTCTTTGCCTTAGTGCTATTTTGCAGTCAATGCTGTGATGTCATGGCTCAAACTTTCCATCTCAAGTTCACATTTAACTTGGCTGGCGCAGCCTGGAACCCTTTCCAATGCCACCTTAGCAAGCTGCCCAAATCACTAGAGCTGCTTTATTGAGCTCTAAAGAAACACAGGGTAAAAACACCAATCTGAAGAAAAAAACAGCCAACCACAAACCTCCCTGTCCAGGAGGGCAAGACATTAAGTGTATGTAGGATTAAAACAAGAAGCTAAACAGCTTATTTAAGGTTACTCTGAACTCAAAGTGAACTCAATGTATGAAAGTAATAAATAAAACACTTTTTTTTCCTCTTTGTAAGACCTGGCTACATTGAGCTGAATGGAGCAAAAGCCAGAGGCGATGCAATCGAAAACTCTCACATCTTTCAAACAACATGGAAGATACAGTGAGTGTTCCACCCTACTTGCTTATTTTTGATCACTTACTTTACAGAAATGTTTATGGCATGAACTACTGTATGAGAAATGTGCATACACAAATACATGACAATTACGTTAAGTTCTTTACAATATTAAATGTATAATATACAATTCTACAGATATCTTACATACAAAGGTGAATGTTGTGCCATATATTCAGATATGGCAATGCCTAGCAACTTTAGAATGTCATACAAGTATAAAACCACAAAATAAAATAACTTTACAACTCTTTTGAAGTAGACAGATGTGCTCAAAGTGTTTGGCTAAGTTAGCAGGCTAACACTGACCGGCTACAAGATTGCTGAGTTGGGCAACCAAGGTGAGGAAACCTGCAGAGGTCTGATTTTCCATGGACAGGTATCCAGCCCTCTTCCAAAAATTAGACCCCTGCCTAGATTGTCCCTTGGGCAGTCAGTGCAGCTCACTGCTGTTGAAAGTATTAGTCTTAAAAAATGATTTTTTAATTTTGTGATCAACTGCCATTAAGGAATTTTTGACCACTTCATACTCTGTCCCTTGTTCTATCTGGCTGTATTTATGCATCTAAGAAGAGTTTCATTAAAATTCAGCATCTACAACAGTATTCTATAAATTAATGTGGGATAAACTAAACTGTGATTAACACATGAATTACTTACTGAGGACCCAATCATGCCAAACAGCAATCAACAGGATTTAGCAGAATGCTATTTATAACCTTGCACCTGCAAACCCAGTGCTGTCTCCTGAGTTAGGAAGCCCTGTGAGTCAGAGTTGATACCAATTTATGGAAGGAGCAGGCACCTCCTGCAGACAGCCTGCTTCAGTAGACAAAATTACAGGTGGGGGCAGCTGCCAAACTGTGTTTTAGTAATAGTTTACAGAAATAGAGGGAAACGAATCTAAACAAGCATGTCTGGCTTTCATCGGACAGTAGAGAGGGGTTTAACATAGTTTTGCAAAATTACAAATAACAGTAATTTTGCAAAAAAAGTAGGCTTGTCTAAAATTCTTAACGCCTTCTCCTAAAACATGGTCAGTAAATGATTAACAAGAGATGGCAGAGCTTGCTTGGCAGAACCACGCTGCTTTGATGATGCCAAACTTAACAGTTTCTGAGTCAAAACAAGACTAGCTTTAAGAGAACTACAGCTCCATGTTGGGTATGTGACCCTTGTGGGATGGCAGCATTTTGTTTTGTGCTTCCAGATCCCTACTTTTGCAAACATTGCCAAAATTGGCCTTGTCAAATTTTTTGTCACTATTTTTTTGTTTAGTGCAGGTTTTTTTTTAGTACGGAGCACCAGTTGACTATAAATTGGTCCTTTTCAGATTCTAGAGTCTGTCCACAGGGAGATATTTCTGTTGAAAATGTAGTATAAAAATAAGCCATTTGCTAGTACGAGCGAGTACAATCACAGAAGTGTCACGTCATGTATGGAGGTGTAAACCACGTCTGATATGAAGGAGGTGCGGCAGTCAGGGAAGATACTCAGTGCAGTTTTTAGGGAACCATCTTCCTCTCGAGGCTCCTGCTTCCATGCGTCACAGCGTCGGGGTACAGCTGGAACGGCTGTTGGAACTGCTTCTCCTGCTGATCTATTCAAATTGCTTTTACTGCTCTTTCGCAAGTCCAACCTAGGGCCAGTGGCTGACGAAGCTTCGCCTTTTCCACCACCACCACCGCTGTTTAGCCCAAAGTACATTCCCAGCAGGCCTGGTATGCTGAGCACGTTCAGGAATTCCATTGTGAAAAACGAACAACTGGTTTTTCAAATGCATTTCATGGCTGGCTATGTGACAGGTAGTTTCAGAATACCACTAATTGGCAACTTAAAGTCAAAATCTGTTTGCTAATACTGTTTTCCAAATTCTTAGTGTTTCACATAAGGGACTATTAAACACTTGTACGGTTACAAAGGAGTAGGGGGGTAGGGTCTAGTCCAGGGGCTCCTGTTTTATTCTGATGGTTGGGGTGGGTTGTGGTCGTCTGTCCTCACGACACAGCACATATTCACTGAACTGAGAGGAATCCACCCCACCACCGCATGAAGCTGCCACACTGAACCCCTTCTGAAATAATCTTTCAAGCACCTGCAATGTGGGGAAAAAAATTCAGATTAATATTTAGCAAATTTTAGTGATTAAAGCATTCAGGGAGACTGGATCTAAATGATGGATTTAGTCTTTCGAGTCCTCATTGAATGAATATTATTCAGCTATAATTCTTTAAGTTATTGTTAAATGACTATGCTGTGATTAAAGTCTCGCTCTCAGCAAACCTCTGCAGAAAACAAAAATTAATCACAAAAATAAGAGCTCTGCAGAGCAGCTTAGTACATTATATAGTAAAATACTGTACTGTGGTGATATTGATGTTATCTCTTACTGCTTACAGAAAGCAACATCAGGTTTAGGTTGTAATGAAAAGCGCCCATTACTCATTAGTAGTATAAACAGGCTTACAGGAAGGGGCTGAAAACGTCTCAGCTCATCCTTGGCAGATGACAATGTCTTAGGAGGCTGAGTGACACATCTCCACACATTCCACCACATCTCCATGGACATCAGAGTCGTGGTTTTCACTCGCTGGAAGGGAGTGCTGCTGTATGTGCATGCAAAGCATGGCTGGGATGGGATGTGGACCCAAGACAAGGACAAACAGGAAACGTTCCGGCCCAAGAAAGAAGTTAATTTGTATTGCCCAAATACGTATTTTCTCTTTCTCCTTCTGAAGAAAAGCTGGTGCAATTTAAATGCATGAATTTAAGGAACCCAGAGGCAACTTTAATTTCTGAGGCTGTGTGACACAGCACATTACCCTAGGATATACTGATCTTGGCAGTATGTTCGGGGCCATGTTTCCACATGCATGAGCATGTTGATACATGGTTTCCCAGCAGAGCTGGACGTAGGCAGAGTTTTCTCAGAGCAGATGCCAGGTCCACCTTCAGCGGATCCACAATGGCAGATCTACTGGAAGAGCTGCTGTGCAGCCTCCCACACAGTGGTGGCTCTCCCGGGTCCAGGGCAGCAGCCTGGAAAAATGGTTCTTCTACTGGTAAATGCCATCAAGAGGAGCAGCCTGTACCGGTCTGTAAGTGCCCAAGACACTGCGTCCATTGCCACAGCACACGAGCCTGCTGTGATGGGAACTGAACCTGATGATTGATTAAACCTGAAGAACTTGGCAACACCAGCACCCCCATGTGCCAGCTGTCTGCTGCCCACAGCGACAGACTAGGGACAGAAAAGTGACTAAGCCACTTAAAAAACTTGACCATAAAAATGTGGAATCCCAGACTGGTTTGGGTTGGAAGGGACCTTAAAGCTCATCCAGTTCCAACTGCCTGCCACAGGCAGGGACATCTTCCACTAGACGGGGTTGCTCCAAACCCCATCCAACCTGGCCTTGAACACTGCCAGGGATGGGGCAGCCATGGCTTCTCTGGATCACTCAACCTGAGTGTGTTTAAGTGTCTTAAGCAATAGACACACCTTCAGTCAGAGGCAACTCATACACTTTTACAGGTTTACGTTATAGGAGGAACTTTATTTCTTTTTTGGTTTTACTAGCCCTGCGAGCTCTGCAGCAGTTACACTTACTGTGGTAGTACTGAGAAGTCTTACATTTCACATCCCAAGCTGACTGTTAAAAGATCTGCACACCAGACTGCTGCCCTGACACACAGATCCATGAGAGGCCATGTTGCATTTCTTAGTGTACGCTTTCCTCAGCCTGTATGTTTGGTTTGCTTTCTCCAGAAGCATCAACTTGGAGCCTATATTAAGGACAGAAGAACAACTGTATCTGAGGTGGTACCATGGTGCAATGCAAGCCATGACAGCAGCATTTGCTGGTTTTAATCCATGGGAACTGAAAGATCAAAAGAGCACACCAGTGTATGGTAGAAAAGTGAACCTGGGAAGATTAAAAGAAGGGGTGGGAGGGTGGGTTATCACAATACATTTAAGATGTTTACAACTCTTACTGGGGTTGTATGCTACCTGCAGGACAGAAACGGGGTGCGTACACTAACACTTGTTCCAGCTGAAAGAGGAAAGCAGGAGTTCGAGAGGGAAGGAGGACTATGACATCATCAGACTGCTGTTCCATGAGCTGGAGAGTATTTTGACTGTATTACATTCCTAGAGCTGGCAAGATGAATATGAGAGGCAACCCAGCTACAGGAAAGGAGGCTGCTTCCATTTACTTCCATTTACTTAACAGTTCCATTACTTACTTACATTCCAATCCCCTGGATAGCAAACCAGAGGATTGATGGGTAAGATTTCAGAGAGAGATGTGACTTCAAAATCCTTGATAAAAACTTTTTTAAATCAATTTCCTTGTAATATAAACCAAGAGCAGGGGTGCCCTTGGCTTGCCTCTGTCCAAAGATATGGAAGGCTGCCTGTTAACATAGGACTCCTCTTCCCTCAGCCAGCTCTCTGCACACACACAGTCCAGGTAGACATTACATCTTAGAGCACTGCACGCAGAACAAAGCAATTCGGTCTTACTACCTAAGTGCTCAAAGGACTAGACTGCAGGCTATCTAACCTTAAAAACCTCAGTATCATCCAGTTTCTCAGCAAGAAACAAACCAAGGCAAATCCTGTAAACAATGCACAGAATGTTTAAATATTGTAGCTTTTTAAGTGTAACTCAGGTAACCTTGAACTCAGCTCTGTGGAGAAAGGCTCCTAAAAGCTGCTTCCATGAATGCTGAGCACTGGTTTGCACGTGCTGGTGCGTGCACAAGACTCAACAGAATGTTAAACACGGACAGATTTAAATGCCATTTACTGCATTTGGTTCTATGCACATTACTTTTTCCAAAGGTAAGAAGATACAGATAGAGGGAAACTAGTGTCTCGAGTCAAATTGGAGCTTCTGTCCTGTAAACCTCCAAAGAGAGTATGTCAAAAAGTGACCATTAGCTGCAATTCTCGTATGTATGGGGGGGGACACACTATATTAGAGGATTTGTGAGTGGTGAGGCCCTGGCACTGGTTGCCCAGAGAAGCTGTGGCTGCCCCATCCCTGGCAGTGTTCAAGGCCAGGTTGGACAGGGCTTGGAGCAATCTGGTCTAGTGGAAGGTGTCCCTGCCCATGGCAGGGGATTTGATCTGTATGAGCTTTAAGGTCCCTTCCAACCCAAACCAGTCTGGGATTCTATGATTTAATATACTCTGTCTCCCAGTATTCTGAGCACATCTGATTTCGTTGCACACTTTTCTAAATAGAAACACAACATTTTCACTTAACGTACCTCATTTAAATTTTGCAGAATGCTAACAAATACATTCTTAATTATGAAGACCCAATGCTCAACATAAACAAGCACCACAGCATTTTCTCTAAGGTAAGCTCCTGTATCTTGCCAGAACCTTTTGCAAGGACTTGAATAAACACTGTCAGCCCTAAGAAAACTGTATACCTGTTAGTAATTACAAATGGGCATTAAATTAAGAGCTACGGTATTTTTCTGGCTACCACTACACTGTTGACATTCTTTGAAGTGCACAGCTCTGGAAACAAAGCATTTAATGGAAATACCTTCCAAAGATAGGAAGAATTGAAAAATATTGCAGCTTTGCCACCAATAAGCTAGCAAGGCACAGGGAGGCAAAAGTGCTGTACTGGAGCAAGCAGCAGGCAGACTGACTGCATTGCCCTTTGAGCTTCTTTGGAAGTGGTTCTGCTGTTCCACCCACTTCCCCTTCTAACCCATCTCCCTTAAGTCTGGGGCATTTGCTTCCCTGTACTTCCAACTTCTGACTTTTGCCAAAAAGCCCTGGGAAAGGAGGGGCAGCACCTCTGTGCTGACCAGAGTCCCGCAGAGCCAATGATAATTAGCTGCTGATTTCATCAGCCTTTGGTCTCAGAAATGCATCATTTTGCAGAAAATGTTTGGAAACACTTTCTATTAATTATATAGTAAAATCATGTAATTTAGTAAAATCATGTAATTTAGTATTATTATTTATACTGCAGACAGAAATTTTTTCACAACACGAACTTGTGAAGAGATGCTTTGATTCCATCTGAATTCTGACTGAATTCAAAACACATTCAAATATTAACACTAATTAGCATTCAGCTTCTACTGCACACCACTTTGGCTTATCCAGAGCCAAGTGCTCAGCCTGGTGGGCATCCAGCTCTTTGCCCGACTGCTGGCAGTGCTGAGCCCACTGGTGGCCCTTTGTTGCTTGGGTATTCTAATTTCTGTCTTGTGAGTAACTGTGTCACAAGGATAGGGTGGCTGAAATACAGACATGCTTCCCCATCCACTTACTTTAGCTGAAGTGCAGCTGCTTCCTTCTCCACCCAGCACAGTGATGAATACATCACCATTCCCACTGCCAGCAAATGGATCTGCCTCCAACCCACCTCGAGCCTTCTATTTCTAGCAGTCCACCCTAAACCTTGCCAAATGTGAAACTGCAAAGGACTGCACAAAATCAACCACAGGCATCAGCCTGATCAAAGGTCAACCAAATGAAACACTTGGGAGACTTGAACCAAAAAATCATCCGAACCAGCTGGGTTTAGACTGGTTCCAGAGAAAAGCATTATGAGTGCAAGGAGCACCAGGGGGTGCTGCCCCACGGAGGGAGGTGTCAGTGTCAAATACACACCGTTAAAATGGCTGCATCCACCTTTACTGGTCTTCAGAGTCTGGCCAGCCAGTCCCATGGGACAGCTCTTCTGTGGGTATTTGACCACAGGAAAGTTCACCAAGGCCACTAAAGCCTTTCCAACAGCCCATTTAGCATCCACAGCCACAGCCCACCAGCAAGGGACAGTAACTCTGGAAATATTCCTCACAGGCTGATTTCATTTTCCACAGTATTTGCAGCATATTTTAGAGGCATACAGGCGAAAACTGAGAGCTGTTTTGACCTTGTACGGCGCAAGTTAACAGCATCACCAACGCTGTTCCTTTCTGCAGCCAAAGGATAACTACAACACCACGGCCTTGGCCACAGTGGTGGTGATCCACTGTGAAATGGCATTTCTTGTCCATAAGTCTGCTGCCTGCACACAAGCCACAGATTTATTTCTGCTACCATCTACCTATCTGTCCAGTTATCTTCTTTTGTTTCATATGTTTAATTTTAAGCCTAATGTCAAAACTCTGAGTATAAAATGAAATACATTTTGTTTAAAATACTCTGGGCAATTTTTATAGAACATCCTTTTGAAAAAAAAAAAAGTGCAGAGATCAATTTTTTTAAGTCCATCCCGCAGGCACCATCATTTAATTATGAGTGAGACATAAATTATGCATTTACACATTGTTGCATTTTCTATAAAATGGTGTGGAGACTTTTTTTTTTTTGTAGTTTTTGGAACTCTCTCTTTCTTCCTGGGGGCACTTTGGAGGAAAAAAAAACCCTGCTGCAGGCTGTACATTGATGAAAAAATTAGCATTTATCAGTGTAACACCATTATGAGACCAGCATGGCACTAACATACACAAAATCTAAATCTATTTTTCTGCTTAGACTTAGGAAAACCTGAAAGACTGTGATCTCACCAGGCAGAAAATGTCTCCTTGCAGTATAAGCACTGGAAGTAATTGGGCAGAAGCAAATAATCTGCATATAATTGAACAAGAAATACTAAAAAACCCACCCCAGCAAACAGATGAGCCAGCACCGAAAGGCCATTACGTTACCTGCACTGAGTTCAACCGGCAGTACCCGTTCAAAGGAAACCTAATAACGTGGGTAGGGTCCTGGTTCCAGCCGGCGTTCACAGAGTTGCACATGACATCCCCAGTCTCCGGAAAGATCTCTTCTATTAAAGCTTTCTCCCCACTCAATGCAATTCTCTCTCCCAGATCTGGAGTCACTCTTACGACCAAGCAGTCACAAGGCTGGAAATGTTTCCGTTGTTCTTTCTCTTGTTTCCATCGCTCAAGTTCCTTAATCATTGGCTGCAGCTGGTAATATTTTGCTTCTTCATATAAAAGATTAAAGTCCTGGGGAAGAAAATAAAAGAGAGAGGGAGAGAGATAAACTAGAAATGCTGACAGAGTTCTCATTTAGCAATGAGTATTGTTCCTGTTTGACCTACTTAGGCTTATGTATTGTCAGCAAGAGTGCAAAAGCAACAGGTACCCACGTAGTTTGTCTTCGTGTTACACCTACACAGAAAACCACACTGTGTTAGTGGTGAATCTGTTAGAGCTGACTGTGAAGTTCCCACTGCACTGAATTATTTGTTCATTTACCACCCCACAAACTCAATGCCAGAAAGCTTTACTTTTGGATTAAAAAAATCAAAATAACTGTTTGCATTAAAGAAAGCCTGCTGACGTAAGAGATGTCCCGAGCCCTAATCTTCACTCTTGGCCTCAGTCAGTCACTTCTGATTTTGCCACAGAAGATCTTAGACTTCACTGTCACCTCTCACACATGTTAGAGATTTAGATGTAAATTCAGCTTCACTTCTCACCTGTCTTTGCTGAGTCTGAAATTCAGCTACGGTAGCTGCTCCCTACATTTCATGGTTATTCCTATATTTAAAGTCTACTTTGGATCCTGGAAAATTATACAGTGGTAGTCACGACCCCACTCCAACAACTTAAGACACAGTTCTTCCCAGCCATTTGTCCATCACCTCACTTGGGCTTTGGGCAATTCAAATTCCCAATCTGATCCAACTCCCAATTCACTGACTGTTTTCTGCATATACTCATTAACAGCTTTGCATCAGATCTCCAACAGATCTTTCCACCTCAACTGTTGAGTATGGTGAGACAACGGGTGTCAGCAGCCCATCAGACCAAGCCAGAGAAGGAAGAGATGGTTGAGCACTGGGTTGACAGTTTGCTTACAGTGGCCCCACCACCTCCTCCAGCCTCCTGAAGGGAAGAGGAGCAGCAAGAGCACCACCAGCTCCTCTCTGCAAAGACGTGTCGTTTGCTTTCCTGGCTCGTATGCCTTCTGCAGATGGAAATGCTGCACCACAGGTATGCTCTCTGACTTTTGCGGAGCATGCTGCAGGTCAGCACACCTGGATGTAAAGACTGCAGTGAAATAAAATGAAAAATCACAAGAGTGAAGCAACTGGAATAATTTGGACTGGGAAGAATGGCATGACAAGAAGTAATCAAGAAACGGGCACCAAAATTCCATGAAAAACAACAGCAGTGCTACTGCTCCAGGACCTGGGGAAGCAGGGAAATCAAAGGCCAATGAACAGGCAGCACAAAATATGCGACTCTTCATAGTGGCTTGGAATTAACCTGTAAAATCTGTTGCTGCAGGATATTACTGAACCAAAGCAGTTAGCTCTGTTCAAATTTGGCACACAGACCCACCGCTGGTAGTGGAGAGGTGCTCCTTCTCCCCAGGGCTGCCTACAGCCTGGAGATGTATGAATATTCACTGACACTGGTAAGGTTATCGCGTTTCAAAAGGGACATCCAATCCTCTACATCTCTTTGATGTCTGTTAAGGCTGGGACAATAGGCACACTGCTAAGGGAGAAAAAAGGACCAGAGAAGGCACAGAGAGGGAAAAAGGGGAAGAGGCAAGTGGGAAGAAACGAGGGCAACAAACACACAGGAAGTAGCTGGAAGATGAAAAACAACAGGAAGATTAAAGAAGAAACCCTATACAAAGCATGCTGCGAACAACTGGAGCTGGTTACAGGCCAGCCAAAGAGGCATGAAGACTGGCTGCATCACCTGATCTCAGGTAAGACAGCATCAGCCCCAAAGCTTCATTCCCTGATGGATGGTATTTTCTCCCCTCCCCCAAACCATTACTGCTTTTCTGTATCCACCAGGGAAGCTCCCTGGTTACTGAGCATAGGAACAGTTTAAACCTACACAGATTAGTGGCCTAACTTAAAAAGAGCCCCTGCCCTAAACTTTCTGAAGTTTTCGTGTGGGACACACAGCACACCACCTAACTGTGTTCATTACAGAGATGTGTGCAAGGGCCTATCAAACATTCACTGGGCATCTGCTGGTCCCATGTATCTTTTTTATCAAAGGAAAACATTCAGTGCTAAGGAAAAACTTAACTCTGGAGAGTGAACAGGAGCATCCAGTGCTCACTGAAGGCAATGGACAATCTCACAGTTTTCAGTAGGTCCTGAAAAACTAGTTTTAGCCTATCTGTGTTCACGGTCACTAAAAAATAACATATTAGTTATAAGATCAATCAAGTGAGTATGTGCTAAGTAAACTCAACAGTAAAACCTAGAGGAGATGGTACAGTACTATAAAAAGCAGTCCTTTATTTCTGGAAGAAGAGAGAGGTACAATGCTCCTGAGTGTGGATGCAAAGACCACCACAGTCACCAGAGCCTTTTTGACTGACTTCACTGGGCTCTGTCCTAGGCTGACAGTATCCTGAATCACAGCAGTTCACTGGTCCAGCACCTCCAGGCCAAAACAGTAAAGCCGTAACACAAACAAAACAAGGATCATGCCACCTCTACCTCCCTCTAGCCAGCTGTTAGCCCACCGCATCAGATGCAGCTCTTAGTGGCTCCTACTAGCCATCGTTTATCTGAAATAATATCTAAATAAACAAGATAAATTTTACATTCTGATATAATTTTGTGATAACATGACCAGTTTTCAAATGAAACAGCTCTTCCACTACTGTCTTTCCCAGAGGATACAGCCACGCTTCAGATGGCTGTGTGGAAATCGGGCTGCACTGGAGCATCACATGCTCTGTGCGATGAGGTCTGCAGCTGGTCACAACTGCCTGGGTTAAACCAAGGTGTTTGGGTTAGTTTCTGAAATAAGACACTCTGTGTCCATTCCACACTTGGGTTGAGGGCAAATATCTGGAACGGGTTCTGCACCTGGAAAAAGGGGTTTGTAGCAGAAGCTGGGAATCTGAGGTGTGCTGGTGTGGAGAAGCAACACACGTGCAACGTCAGGGAGTCTGCGCACCTATTATCAGGCAGTGCAATAAAGAGAATTTGTTGGACTCTAACGAGCGGATAAAAAATGTGTCTTCTGCTAGGCAAGAGAAAATTCACCTTCCATGGCCCTCCCTCCACGTACCACACACTGCCCAACCCAGGCACCAGCATCCTAGCCTGCCCCACTGCCCCAGCCCTGTACTGGACTGCTGGTGCTTCTGCACTGAGTGACTTGGGCACTGTTCAGGCATTTGACCACATATTTAGCGAGGGAAGAGAACTTTGCTACATGAGGAACAAAGAAAGAGTGGCTCCCACTGTGGGGGTTCAGTTGTCTGAAGCCTGTGCTTGGCCAGCGTAATGGACTCACCACACTGCTAACTACAAGATTTTGTCATTCAGGTTTTATACACCACTCAGAGTACAGTGCATCTGAGATCTGACTGGACGCGATGCCCGGCTCTGGTTTGCCTACAGAGGATGTTGAGGACAGGTAATACCACCATAGCTACTTCCACCTTGCACTGTAGATATAAAATCCTATCCTGATGACTTGCAAAAATTTAATATGAAATGTGAAGTAGAATTCAACCCACAAGGGACCTCACCATGGAGGTGCCACAGGAGCCACAAGAAAACATTTCCATGCTGCTGGTTTTGAAAAGTTATCAAAGGCAGAAGCAGACATGAATCTTCCTAGACCTATCCAGAAGAGGCACATTTCACTGAGGCAGGCACACGAGTAGCTACAGGGCATTAACTGCCTAGCACAGTGGCAAAGTGCACACAGTCTCATTGAAACTTAGCCTCAGAGCAGCCTGGTACAGCTTTTGTCCCAGGCGCATGCTGATAGATGCACACAGATATTGCACTCTTTCTCTCACAGAGGCTGCAGCCCTGGTGTCAGTGCAGTCCTGCTGAGCTCAGACAGCATCCCACAGCAGATTTTGTACAGCATCCAGGAGTTCCTTGTCCTGCAGGACTAATGATGCACCTCCCATTTATTCTAAGGATTATTTCTCTACCTTCACAGCTTCTTAACAGCACTGCACTTCATGGCAGCACAGCCCAGAGTCAAGCAGCATGTATGGTAGCTAATGAAGTTGTCTGTGTTTAGCTAAGGTAAATCACTTTACTCCGAAGGTGATTCCTACCAGCCAAGGTCCCTGCTCATGTGCTCCTTGCTAGACTGAAAGGGGAAAGGGGACATGGACAGACCAGCCTCTGATTTTGCTGTAACATACCACAGAAATTGGATGCCCTATCCCGGGCAGTGTTCAAGGCCAGGTTGGATGGTACTTGGAGCAACCTGGTCTACTGGAAGGTGTCCCTGCCCACGGCAGGGGATCGGAACTGGATGAGCTTTAAGGTCCCTTCCAACCCAAACCAGTCTGGGGTTCTATGAAAAAGCTACCATGAGCTACCATGAGCCTTCAGCTTGTGGCTGTTGTAGGAACTAGTGAGGAAGCTGTGTCAGGTCACCCGCAAGAGGCAGCAGCTGGCCAGGTGGCATGAGCACAGCCTTTCCCCATCCACAGCTTCTGGACATTTAGACCTCATAGGAGAGGTAAACACATCCTTCAAAGACACAGCTTTTTGCCTTTCACAAAATAATTTTCTGCTCATGACTTGGTAGGAAAGCTTTTTTCCTGGTGGATTCTACAGTCACCACTGACAAGCATGACATACTGCTGAGGAGGAGATTGGCAAGTGTGACTGCAAAGCCAGTTGTGCTGCTGTTTCCACATCACTGCCAGCAGGTCACAAAGATCAGCTAACTACAGGCAGAGACAGCCAACATAAACCGTAAAACGGTGTCTCCTGTGAACCTGATACTGTTCTCTCAGTACTGAAGAGGTCCTTTGGTTCTGTACCTAATGGTGACTCCTAAACAGGCCGGAATGGCTCTTCCTGCCTATTTTCCACTTGTTATTCTTTGTTACATGAAACAGCAAACTGTCATCCTGAGTCAATGTTTCTTTTATATTTTAGTGCTGTGAAGATCTGACTCCTGGCTACGTGAAAAAGTTGCTCACTTCTACGATGACAACTGCACCATTTGGTAAGGTCAGTTCGAGAGCACTTAGAATTAGATGCAAGCACTAATTTTAAAACAATAATAAATTAGCGTGTTGGCCCTGCGGTTCTGGTGCTACAGGTGAGCTCTATATCCCATACAAAACTCCGATGTCCTGTGTATTTGTCCTCCTCCCCTCCTTAAGATGGAGCAATAATATACACATTCCCTATATCTGGTTTTGTTTGACAACCTCTAAGGGAGGTGTGAGTCGTGTGAGTCTCAAGTAAGTAGGTGTGATGAGTCCTGGTTCTGAATGAAGTTATGTCCTGGCAGTGAAAGGGGCAGATGCTGCTCAGAAATGTCCTGCGGAAACACCTTTGATGGTGGGGGAAGACCAAGGCAGAAAGGCCAGGTTGGATGGGGCTCAGAACAATCTTGTCTAGTGTGAGGTGTCCCTGCCCATGGCAGGGGGTTGGATGAGCTTTAAGGTCCCTTCCAACCCAAACTGTGGGCTGCAGAGAGGTAGCTCCAGAGCCAGCCATCCCCTAACCCAGCAGCATGGCAGACCAGGGGGTGCTGGCTCCACACTCTGCCCCAGGACATTTGTTGCTCAAGATGTCATGGTCCCACACACAGGTCTCTGAACCGGTGCAGGAGGAGGAGCTGTGAGCAGCTCCAGGCTGCTAGCAATTGCCTCGCTCAGCACAGGCTGGCTGCAAAAAACTAAGCCAAACAGCTCACAGTAATTTCTCAGCATACTTCATGTGGCTTAAACTCCCCTGAACACAGGAAAATTATATGAACAGAATGTTGCTTTCAGCAGGGAGACCTGTCAGACACGAAACACTTTCAAGTTCTGGCTTATTAGTAGTTGGAAGTGTAATTAATATTCACTGTAAACACACCAGTCAGACTTGATAATAAAGAATCACTAGCCTTGGAACACATACCCACTTTCTCTGCATTTCAGTGTTAACTTAGTCTGAAAACAACACTTAAATAGCAAACACAATAATGCTAGTGCGGTACTAACATTCCAAACTTTCCAAAATAACCATCTGAGCAGCAATTCAAGTTGAAAAGCAACTTGGCTAAACCTTGAGGCTAATAAACTGCTTGATTAAATTAAGGAGTAAAAACTAATAAATATTCAAAACACTTGATAATGCTTTGTTTGACATAAAGAACATTTAATGCAAGTCTCACTGGAAAACCTGTCAGGTTTTATACCTTAAATAGAGTTTTGCATTTAGAAACACCAAGTGATTCCATTTGCTGCCTTTGATTATTGTCTTCTGTCACTTTAATCATGCTGGTAAAATTACACAATTTCTGTGAAGTCAAATCCGTTTACAATGCAATTTTAATACAGCTTTGCAGCACATTCTTCTATGCATTTTTATTTAGTTACTCCCTACCTAGCAATACTTTGCTTTGTTCTTGAGCCCTCATTAGCCTGGGGTTTGCTCTAAAGCTCTCCCAGGGAAGAACTAAATAAAATACAGTTAACCCTATGCAAAGAGATGGTCTGGATCAACGGACTTAGCCCTGGCACAGCGCCGGCTCTCCTGAGTCTCTCCCAGCCCTGCCAGGGCTCACTGCGCAGACAAGTCCTTGGCACCCACCAGCACTCTCACCTCCAGGCTCTTAATGAATCTTGCTGGTTTTGTTTCACAGCACCTCTGAAATCTGGACGCCAGTTGAGGCTATGATCATCTTGAACTTCTCTTTTACCCTCCTTTCTCATGCTTTCTTGTCTCAATGGATTGTCCAAAATGCTGCCCCTAAAGCATCCCTCTGGCCTTTCATCTGTACTGCTTCCCCATCCACCCTCCTCAATTTGATCTATCCCATGATCCACACAACTAATCTGGTCTTTAGCTTCACTCCCACCCCTGTGTTTTCTCTCTTATCTCTTTAAAGAACTTTTCTTGCATCCACCCCTCAGTGCTCTGGCTCTCACCCTGCCTCATGCACCCCAACCCATAACCTGCCCGCCACTCTCCAGAAGGAGCAGTGCCAGGGCAGCCCTTCTGGGCTGGAGCTCTGAAACCACCCACAAATGCCAAAATTTCTCCCTGCCTTTAGATCAGATGTGTTCTCCCCAGGCACATGCAGGGGTCAAACACAACTGTACTTGTAACTTAGGCAAGAATGGCTTAGGAGAGGTTTGCAGCATGAGGATTAGCTGTACTCCAAAGCTAAAGCCGCCAGAGCAACCACAAATCCGGACTGACTCAGTTATGACTGACCAAATTATCTTGCCTACCCAGGCCAACATGCAAAGTGAAATCCCACTGCAAGGCTCAAGAACCTTCCTTTCCAGCAATGTTCCACATCCCCTAACTGAGCAGATCCCCACTGCCATCCCAATTTAGTCATCATTTCATCCTGGAGTTAGTGCTTTTGTTGAATCTTGTCATCTACAGTCCAGACACTTTTGTCTTCTAATTTTCGTACATAAGGATGACAATGTTACAAGTTTCACAAGTGCAAAGCCAACTGCTCTCCAGAGGAGAGCTTTTAGAAACAATCAGGGTTCGCAAAGTGACAGCCACCACTGTTATTACACAGAGAACACGTAATGCTCCTGAAAAAGCCCTCTGTAAATTCCATCTCCCAACAATATTTTCACATTCATAAATTGTGTAAAAGCTTACTTCCTGAAATCAAAGTATCTGCATCTAACACAAATCCTCATGGGCTTGTTTAAGGGTATCTCTTTTTTATACCTACAAGAAAAGAAATTATACAATTTAAGTCCTCTAAATATCAAATTTTAAACACTTCTTTCAGATCCTGAGCATTAAGCCCTGGTAAGCGCTAGTTGCTGATGTTGCTTCTTAATTGTTATAACCTGATAAGTAAGCTAAAATGAGAAAATACAATTAGTTTAGAAAAACTGATCTAGCCATAAGCTTTGTTGTTTTTTACAGTATCCATGACAACCAGTGGTCCATTTATTAAATAATAGCATCCCTGGTGTAATACACAAGTACTAAAAATCCTAACAATAAACAGCAACATTTAGTTAAAAGTGTTTAGGTCAAGCACACAATTCAACCTGCACCAAAAAAAATGACAGGAGGAAAAGATAGGTTGCATACTATAGCTTTCCTTACCTTAAAGTCATCTGGGAGCAGTAGCTTAGATGTCCTTAGGAAGCTTAATATATATCTGAAAATTTCACCATCTCGATCAATGAAATAATGTTGTTTCAAACTGTCCAAGACAATAGGCTCTGTGCCATTAAACAGGCGACTTATTCTGAAAAAAGAAAAGAAAAAGAAATGGGCAAAAGAGGAAAAAATGTCATTACACCCTCAGGGCTTAAGAACATCCAGCCAATTTAGTTGCATCAATTCAGTGTGCATGAAGTAATATCTTAATCTGGTGACAAACAAGTGCACAAAGAGAGACGCCTTAGACACACATGTGCACCCACATGCTCACACACAAGAAACATGTGTGCACAGGCACACACCAGCAGCAAGTGCCTGGAGAATGCACTGCCTCGAATCAGTGCTGCAAATTAGGACCATGACCCCAGCAAGGCAAGTGCCTACGAAATGCTCTCCCCATGGCTGGCAGAGTAATTTTGGTGAGAACATGTGTCACCATTATACAACGCTGTCCACATGTCCTGCTAACGGAGAATCAAATGGTTGGTTACTCAGAGATGGGTTCTCGGCCATGAGCTTTTCCTCCAACTTGGCTGTCATTCTGATCAACCACCATCAAAACCTTTCTGTGCTAGAGGAGAGGCTGCCCATCCATGGAGATGAGCTGCATGAGCCCCTCAGTGCTGGATAAGTGGCCATACAACACCAAATGTTTTAGCAAAGCAGCAATCAGTGGCCAGTGCAGCATCCGCAGCACTGCCTGTGGGACCAGAGTCCCACCACCAGCAGTCCTGGGGATCAGAGTCTGGCAGGAGAAAAGCAATGTGACGCATCTTTTATGAGCAAAGAAAAGGAAGGAAGACCTACGAGACCTGATGATCAGCTGGTTACAGGACCAAAATCAGCTACATCACCCCAGCTTTCTCCATGTCCTGAGGAGCACGCTCTGCAGAAAGCAAACCAGGCGTCTGCTTGCCTGCTGTTTCTCCCGCCTCTCCCCTCCAAATGCCTGGCTTCTTTCAGAATGCTTTGTCTTCCCATGAGAAACAACCCAGCTGAATATATGTTCTTGAAAGGAAAATCACAGGAGACAAACAGCAACGACCTATTAAGTAACTGAGTCCATCTCTCTCAGAGAGCAGCATTGTTCCCAACTGCAGAGTGTCTCATGTTTCAAAGTCGAGTCTTATATAATCCTGCCAGTGAGGTCTCTTCCATTTCCCAGAGAGAATATCCCACAGCCTGCTGGATTTCACTGTCAAGTCATCCCTTCGACTCAGCCATGCAATCCTGCTGTGTCCTTCACTGAGACCAGGGCAGGGCTGTCTTCTGCCATGGTAACAAGCTCACCAAACCATACCAAAAGGCAGTGGCCAGCACTGCTGGTGGATGCTGCAGCTGCAGCCTCACTGCCTCCATCCTTACAGCAGCACCACCCCAAGGTTTTTGGTCCACCAGTGAGGGAAGGGATTGCAAGGGGAAGGCATACACCCACCCCAGCAATGGGAGGAAGCAGGTTTGCTCCATCACCCTGACGATGGGAAGGAGCAGGTCTGCTCCATCACCAGTGCTGGTGCTTCCGGTTGTGCCTCGCGCTCCATGCCTCGGGCTGTGGGTTCATGCAACATGGTGAGATTTGCTCTCAGACTCTGAGGCTGCACCTCAGCCTGATCTTTTAACTTGCTAATTTATTTGCAGATTAACATGACGTTTATTTCTAAATTAATTAACTATGGAGGTATTAAATAAAACTGGACTTAGCAAGTCCCCACTGAATTCAGCTAAAAAAGCCTTCCTGCCCTCTTAAGCAAGTTCCAGCTTTTACTGCCTCCTCTCATGTCTGTCAGCAATCAGCTAGTCTGAGTTACTTATGAGAATAACCAAATGCTCCACTAAACCCTAATTATAATATGTTTACTGTTTTTCTTCAACTTCTAGGTTTTCAATGATATCAAAGAACATACATTTAATTTATATAATCCCAAATTTCGGTAAGCCTCCAGTAATTATTTTCTTTTTCGTTGTTATTTTAGGGCTATTTGCCTGAGATGGTTAAATGTATTCCCTTGTACAGTGTTAAATTTTATCCCAGGAGCTAGACAATTTATTTCCTTAGACATACACATGAGCCAGTGTGCTGTGAGGGTGAGACTGAAAGCAGAGGGAACACTGATCGAGCAGCTTAAGATTCAATATAGTACACTTATTGAATAAATGTGGGTAGCTACTGAAAGTTTTGAAATCTTACAGCTCAATAAGCTGGGCTGTGGCTTCAACCTCCTCCCCTTCGGTGCCACTGCCCTGTGAAGCCTGTTGGGCTCTGCCACGCGTATGGAGAAAGGTCTGCCAACAGTGACAGGGCGCAGGGAAGACTGGATAGGAAATCTTAATGGGCTGCTCTTTAATGCAGTGAAGCTTTTTTTTGGTAATGAAAACAAAACATGAATTTTGAGGCCTTTGTGGAGTGCCCTGAGCTGTATTTCTTCACCAGCAAAATTACTGCTGGGGAAGAAACTTGCAGAGTGTTGAAAGACTTAACTGCCACCCCAAAAACAGAGTGATGAATAGTTTAAGGATTTATTTGGCATTTTTTGGGGCTGCTATGTTCCAAGAACCAGCTTTGCTGCAGCGCGTTGTAACGCTGCGCACAGGAAGCGCCCTGGCTTCTCCCTTCTTAACAGGGTAAAAAATACCTGCAGAAAAGTCCATCAGAAAATGTAACACTGCAAGAGCACAAAGTGTACTCAAACAGCAGCTTCGAAACGAAAGTTCTCCCCACAGGCGTGCAAAGCCAAAGAAAAGAGTACAGTGCCCGGGGGCAGCTCTGTAAGCCCCACCAGGACCTGATGTGCTCAATGGGTGGATCTTGGGCGGCCAGAATGAAATGCTGCGCGCAAAAGCATGGAAACAAAATGTGTGCGGGCAAGTCAGCAAGTGCAAGGGAATGGGAATGGTTTTGCACTGTACAAACTTGTTAGTGCTCAATCAGAAATGAGGTACCAGCCTGGCTGGCAGGCTCAGGAAGCTCCAGCGCCCTGCCATGTGATGAGAGCTAGAAGTTATGGGAAGCTTCACTTTCTAATTTTAAAACCATCTTAAAACTTCTGTCCAAGATTTAATCTCCAGACAGGGAACAGACTGAGCCAAGATCAATCCTAGCAGTTGCAAGCCTAAGGATGCAAACTTGCCTTTCTATTGCCTCCACCTCCCTGGCCAGTCCTGCAACGCTCACACCATCTTCCCAGTGCACGGTCTCTTCCCAGCCATCTATCCCTCCTCCTCAGGTCCTCCTGCCCTCCCAGCAGTGAGCTCTCTCTGTGCTGCTGCCCACCCCAACCCCTGCAGGGTCCGTGTTCCTGGCCACCGCTGTACCATCTCCCAACAGAGCAGAGCCCTAACAGGGTCAGTGTCCAGCCTCCAGCTTAGCAGGTATCACCAGCACCTAAATCCTGTCTGGATGCTCTTCCCTACTCCTCCCAACACCCAAAACACAACCTGTTGATCCTATTTCTACAATTTCTTTGTGCTTCTGTTGTTTCTGCTAAAGGCTTTTTACATTTTCAATCATGTTTCGCCAAAACGCCAAGGGGTGAGTTTCTACCTTTGTACTGATTTTACTATGATATTAAGATCTCCTTTTATTAGATTAAAAACAAACAATGCATACAGCCAACCCACAAGGACAAGAGTGCCAGTAAATTCTTTTCTTAGTTTCTTGAGCAGGGGAGGAAGCTGCGTGTGAGCACCTACCGATGGCTGCTGCTACCCACAGCCCCCAGAGTGTTGGCAACTGACTGTCCATACGAGCTCCCTGCAGTGCCCATCAAGATGGGAACACAAGGGTGGGCCTGCAGAACAGAGACTCTGGCCCCCAGAGCAGAGCTCACCACACACCATCTCTTTCATAAATTCATCCAACTCCATCTTAAAAGCACCCAGGGCTTTTTGCATCCCCAGTTCCCTCTGGAGCACCCTCAAGTCTTCCTGAGACCATCACTGCACACAGCCACAGATCTGTACCTCACACACCACTGTCAGGGGGTTTAGTGGCACTTTGGGATAGGTTTGGGGTGGAGGGGGTTCCTTTCTGCTTTGCGACAGTTTAGCCATTTTCTTGGCAACTCTTACAAAGAACTTCTGTTTTCTGTTCAAAGGCTTTACAGGCTGAGAGAGCTGGGCTTGTTCAGCCTAGAGAAGAGAAGGCTCCAGAGAGGCTTTACAACAGCCTTCCTATACCTAAAGGGGCTAACAGGAAACCTGCAGAGGGACTTTTTACAAGGGTGTGTAGTCACAGCACAAGGGGGAATGGCTTTAAACTGAAAAAAGGGTAGATTTAGATTAGATATTAGGAAGAAGTTACTCCCTCTGAAGGTGGTGAGACACTGGCACAGGCTGCCCAGCAAAGCTGTGGCTGCCCCATCCCTGGCAGTGTTCAAGGCCAGGCTGGATGTGGGTTGGAGCAACCTGCTCTAGTGGAAGGTGTCCCTGCCCATGGCAGGGAGTTGGAACTGGATGAGCTTTAAGGCCCCTTCCAACACAAACCAGTCTGGGATTCTGTGAGTAAATCTGATTCCAGAGGCTTTCAGACAAGCACCCAGTATCACAGGACCTGTGGGACAGCCAGCAGTTGGGATGTGGCAAGTACAAGCAGAGCGCTCCGCTAACGAGCCCAACCAAAGGGGAGCTACTGTGGTTCTGTCCCATCCCACCCAACCAGCCAGCACAGCAACACCGTTTAAGTAAAACACTATCACAATGTTGCACTAAAAGTATTAATTTAAGTAATTACATGATTAATATTTAACTGTTCAGTGATATTTTTTGTCATTCATAATTTAGTTGTTTACATTTATTAAAAATTGATTCTGTAGACACTCTTCCTGCCCAATGTCAAATCAGCAGGGAATGCACATTTAAGCAAACTGTCAGCAAGATGTGTCTCTCTCCTAATTTTATGAGAGGAGAGGAGAAGAGAGAAGTGCACCCTCCTGCTCCACTCAGTGCAAACATGCAGCGAAGCTGGTAGAAGCTCTGCAGCCTTCTATCCGGCGGCTGTCAGTCATTCTTGGCTGTTGGGCTTTCCTGTGGAGCTGGAGGAAGAGGTGGTTGTGGGAAATGCCAGAGAGAGGAGGAAGAGGATTGTTT